TCGATGGCCGCGACGAACCTCCGTCGCCTAATCGCCTTGGCCTCATCGCCGAATCACGAGCACTAATTCGCTGGTGGACCTCAGAGCCCCGTCCACGGGGGATTGGAGGTGAGCGTTCGTCCGTTCGTTCCGGACCGGTGGTCCACTTATGCTTGAAGCCGCTTGGAAAGTCGCAGCGGATGACGTTTTCCGTGACTCAAGCGACGTGTTCATGAGCAACATCCATCCAGCGTCAGATGGAGATCGTTCAAACTCCACGGGTGGCAAACGATGCGCGTAGACTTGGAATTCGACCTTCGATACAATGAGTGCTTCAACTTCGAAAGGCCCGGGAGCTTTCTTACGGTCTCGGAGAGAAGTCGGGAGCGCTCGGTCACTCGTTCCATCGCTGGGGAGGGAACAGCGGGCCCGCTGTCCGTCTGTGATTCAAATGAGTTCTAGTGGTTCCGATTAGGGCGCCTATTGTTTCTATGGCATCGAACTTGAAACAGTCACAGAGAGAAACTCTTCGACGGGAGCCCTTATCCGAACTTGCACAATGAGTTAGCCAAAGTAGTGCCGCTTATTGTTACGGGACCTCAAGTCCTCCCCCGAGCGCGGCCAGATGCCTCCGTTGTGTACGCATTGCACCACAATCTCGACGGCGCTCTGTAGAGGTCAGATCGAGGGACCCAGTCAGACGATAATCCTCCATCGATGAATGAAAGGAGAGGCTCAATGGTCCTTACGCGGTCCCGGAAAATTCTGAGCGGACGGACGGGAGCGGTATCAATTCGAATGAAACAACAAGGCTCGACTCCGGCGGTGAATATTCAGTAGGGATCTCCCAGTATGCCCCGACTGATTTTCGGCGGCAGACAACTGCTCTGAGTGTCGGGGATAATGCCGAAGAGCTCGAGATAAGTTTGGAGAGCCGCGGATTTCCCTGAAGTGCCGTAGATCTGGCGGAGGAGCCATGCTGAAAGAGAGAGCGGGACGCAGGACTCCTCTGCGGAACATCCTCGCAGAATGGATAAGGGAATTTTACGAACTGTCGATTCGGAATCGTCCTCGTGGGGAAAAAGCACGGATGCCTGATGTCGAGCTGGTCCGACTCAAGCGAAACAGGCTGGAGACAGACGGACGACGAGCGAACGCACCGACCAACGACGGAGGAGAGGGAAGCTTTAGCAGGAGGGAAGGCCATGTTCGAAACTGGGTCAGTATCACAGAGCTGAGACCTTGCCCGATTGGGGTAACGTTGAAGAATTTTTTCAAGCACGCACACGGCCACACTCACAGGCTCACTCACCTCTGGCGCTTTTTTCCTCCCACTATCTATGTCTTGCTAGTTCATCCATCAATGGGGAACTTTACCACGCGTCGAGAGCCAATCGAACAGTGGGGAATATTTCCCCGTAACGGAACAGTCTGAACACTTGACGAGCATCAACCTGTAGATAGGCACTACCGCACGGTGTCAACTCGCGGGGACTCACCGTTCGTTCGGAGTTTGATATCCTTGGTTTCAACTGGTGTCGGGGACTCGTCTGACCCGCCTGACAAGAGATCGGACTGGAGAGGAATTCGGTTTCCTCCCGTGTTCTTTTTTCCGGGAGCGTTGCCGCACTGATGTCACTCCACTACACCTGCTGTCGTCGCTGTAGACGGGGTTGGAACGTCAGTCTCCTCAAGCGGCTGCTTTCGTTCGTTTGCTCCGCTTGTTCCTTCCCGAGGCGTCAGTCTCGGCGTAGGTACTAGGTGTACCGATGGAAAAAAACCTTTCGAACCGACTGCTGGGGGATGAAACCGAAGAGGCTCAGGATGTATCCATGTCTTCTGACGTCACCTCCTACAACAGACACACCTCCCTCGTTTCGACGAAAAAAACGACAATGCGGGCCAGCGATCGCCGCCAAAACCAAGCCGAACAATATTTGTCGGTTCGAACCGAGGGGAAGAAAGGAACGAGCAACGCAACGTCCTGAAGATAGAGAGAAATAGTCGAGACCTTGCTGCCTCGAGTTGGGGTTCGGACGTCGGGTGGTGAGGGCCGGAGCGCTCGGGGAAGGGCCCCGCTGGAAAGAGGCAACGGGCTTTTCGAGGCCGCTGCCGCCCCTCCCGGCGCGCCCGCTGGCTAAACTGGAAAGAGGTAGATCACTGAAGAGGTAGATCAGCAGAAGACCGCCGCCACCGACGCTCCGGCCACCGCCGCCGCCGCGCCCGCCGGGACCACCCCTGTCGCTGCAGCTGGTTCTCGACCCGCACTTGACTCTCTGATTCTCGTCGTCGCCGCCACCGTCACCACCGTCGTCGCTGGAACTCCGGCCTCAACGTTGAAATGGAAGACCGCCACGGCCAACACGAGCACAGACACCGTTTAAGATCGACACTTTCACGGAAATTACGGTGGCGGCAATAGCTTCCTGTGATGAATTCCCATCCTGGTTCTCACGCTTCCCGAGATCGCGGATCGCTGAGGTCACGGCAGTCGGAGCGAAAGGAACGACTCGAACTCGACCAGCATTGTGAGCATCACTTGGCCAGAGCGACGACGCGATGCAGAGAACGTCTCTCCGTTTCGGTCAGACGCTCGGAGACAGCACCGTGCGGATCGACGTTGGAGACGGCCTCTTCCATTGACTGCACCGTCAGTTCATCCACTAATCTCGAGATGAGGAAAGGGAGAAGAAACAGCGACAACTTGAAGAAGAGAAGCTCACGGAGCAAAAGGAACAACAGACGTGCACCCATTCACTCACTCCTCCTTACACTCTCTTTTATGTACACAACAGAGACTACGAGAGAAACAAGGTGCCATCACACGGTTTCACCGTGATATCCGGTCAGCTTGGCAATTCGAAGATCGATTCGCAGTAGACTCCCGTTTGGAATCAGCTTCCCTCTTGATGCAGGAGCCCTGACTCTAGAATCGTGTCCAATTCACGCTTGTCGTCCAATCCTCAGTCTCCGAGGCCGATTCACGTGGAAAGTCTCCTATTCAAGCCATTTTCACTTCTCATTCTCAGACGGACCCGATGTGACCCGGAACAGGAGCAGGAAGGGGGGCGGAAGGTTTGTGGAAGCGCAAGTTCCCGCACTTCCGATTTGGTAGAAGAACGGAGGGTAAAGTCAGGTTTTCCCTGCTGTCTATCCTGAGTTATTCACTCATCGTGATTCAAATCAATATAGTCTTAATTTTCATTCCTCAGTTCTAATTGGGAAACGCTCCTTCCTCGGTAGATTCGATGTACTAAAAGAGATTCTCCATCGGATTCTGTGGTTATTGGAGGCATACTTCCGTTTCTGGAGAAACAATTCGCAGACACGACGGTAACGCTCTCCTGTACGGTCAGGACGGGAATGGATCAGTCAGAATGATTCGGAAGCGGTCCGGGCGGCGCGGCGCTCGAAAGAATAGTTCGCAATAATAAAGAAATTGCGGAGACTATTCGAGGATGGATCGGTGGCTTTCCCTGAGTAGCAGTTCGGAATCGCCATCGTGAGAGCTCAAACTTTTCACTTCATAGTGACATCATCGGCAGCGATCGCTTCCATCGGAGCACCCACCACGAGGGTCGGCTAGGCACAAGTGGATGCGATCGGACGATTCTCCCTGGTTTGGGGCATCCAAACATCACGAGCGCACACCGCCTGCCCGCACCTCTGATTCCTTCACACTCGTTTTCCCGCTACCGCGCTGTATCACATTACTCGTACACAAATTCTTCCGGAGAACAGCGACGCTCTCATATTGAACCGCTCTTCCCCGGGGATTCACTCTATCGGACGATGCTTCGAGAATTGTACATACTCCCGCTGACAAATGTTCCGAATGAGAAGGCAGCGACGAACGTGGGCGTGCACCTGCATCCTCACCGATAAATCCCCGGGAAAACGACAGGATTCAAAGGGAATCGTTTGGGTATGGATGTATTCCCGATCGTTCTACGAGTTCACTGGGATCGCTAACGAACAGCCTCGGAGACGTTCTAAGGCTGCCAACCTAATTGTGACTTCCAAATCCTTATATTGCTTAAATAGTCGGCAGAAAGATTCGTCCTTCCGACCTCTGGCTCGTGGAGCGTCCCTGTCCCTGGACGCTATGGAATGACGAAATAGGGTGAAAACGGAAAAGGTAGAGTCTCTTTCGCAGTAGACGGCACGCTTGCCATAGAAGGGCAAGACCAGCTTACCACGTCGGCCGTCCAGACCGACTTCACGTGCTCAAAAACTCATTTTGCAGCGCAAACGTGTTTCGTTCGCGAGGCTCCGAGCTGCTCGACGTACAGATTCAGAATCGAAGCTCTTAGAGCTAGAAGGGATATGTCGTGGCATGTCCTTTTCTCGAAGGCGAGTTCATCTACCCCCGGAGCTAGTTCATCGGACATTGGGATTGAAATCGGCTCGCTGGGCAATTTTATCTGAGATGCTCGGGAACCCCCAAGTCCGTTCACGTTGAGTAGCTCAATGGGGAGCGTGGATCGGGTTTTTTCACCGAGCCTAGATCTCCTCCGGAAGAGCCTAGTTGCTGCCGAGCCCGCCATCTAAGGCATGCGCCGGAAGACAAGACGGGAGAATAATCAGATGGAACTCCTTCCACGGCCCGGACCTCCTCTCTCAGCGATCCTAGGTACAACTCTAACAGCACCCAGAGCGAGAGATTGGTAGTACAACTGACGAGTTCCAGAGCGAATTCTCGAGTCGTAAGAGGGTGCTTCTAGGGCGTTCCGACACTCTGTTCATGACCGTCAATCTCGGAAGGGGGAAGTGGTTTGATTCCGGAGATGCCGGCGATGCGATCCTCTTTCGGCCTCTAATAGGAATCGAGTCAGATGAAGGAAATCACAACGGTAGACGGAGGGGTACCTACTTCCGAATTCGGAGAATATGATTCTGTTTCCTCTACTTCCACCTGGAAGTCCCCTCCGACTCTTCCTCCTTTCTAGGCGTACATCATGACGTGGAGGTAATGTCTCGCCCTCGATTCGAGGGAAAGAGAGAAAAAACTCAATGTGTAATTCGCCTCAGTGTATTTCCATGATCCAAATCAATTCTACAATGAACAGGTTTCGCCACCCACAACGTTCAGCAGGCTACCAGTTCCAGTTTGGGGTCATCTCTGAAAAACGAGGGAAGCTCTTCATTCATTCCACCGGGCCTTCACCGAATCGGAGGGGGTCGGTTGTCAGAATCCGACTAATTCGATATTATAATGGGTTCCTAAGGAAAGATAGAAAGTCTCCGTACCGGTCTGTTGCTCAAGTGACGTCCAAAAGTTGCGGGGTTATTCTCTTGAAGAGGACTAGGAGCTGTCATGAGGGGCGTGTCAACTTTATGACCCTGGAGCTCATTGAGTTTTTTATTCAGCCACTGAATGACGCTATCTTTATGGGCAATCTGCTTCTGTAAATACCACATCTCGATTGAGTCGTCTCGCATGCTGATGTGCCGCGCGGTTGGAGAATATACTCCGCAATATTACTTTTCCCGCGGGTTCGAATTCAATGATTAGTCTCGGGGTCCGAATCCCCGTACCTCTAATTGTAGCAATCGAGGATCATCACTCTGACCCTCGAGGTTCTTCCGAAGGGTGCGCAATTCTTTATCCTTCGTCTCCAAGAGTTCTTCTTGCTTCATTATTACGTCTGAACGGACCTTGAGCTGCAAGAGATGCCTTCCGTTACAATCATCTCCCGCCATTACTCGAAGAAATCCCGGACGGGACTTACCTTCGAATGGTAGGTCTTTATCTCCGCCTGTAACTTCTGAATTATGTCGTTGGCTCGGAGGATATCTTCCGACATGGTTTTGATGCCTGCATCTCGTCGCTCGACTTGACCTTGCTTGTGCTCTAACGACTCTTCGAGATGCCTGGAAGGAAGAACCTTCGTTCGAGGACTTTTCCGTTCCTCGGTTCTCCAGAGAGACGCGAAATTGACCGGTAACGGAATTCTTGCATCATATCTGAATACCTTTTCTCGGAATTCAGTTTGCAGACTGTACTCCTGGCCGTTTCGAGATCAACTTTCACCTGCGCGAGTTTCAGTCGAAGTTCGGCGTTCTCCTTCCCCGGATCGGTGCGATTCAATATATCGAGTCTATCCTGGAGCATACGATTCGTTTCTTTCTCTTGGGATAGACGTAGCTGTCAGGAAGCAAAATGACTTATTTAGTGATTGAGAGTCAACGCCGGTTTCTCCACGGGAGGGGCAGATTTCAAAGATGGGATGATACGCAATCAACACGCTCGTCGCCCTATCCCACGCTCGGATAGAAGAATTTCGGACAAAACTTGCTCGCACCTCGACCTGTTGGATTTCAGACTGAGACTCTCGGATACGGTTCTCCAAGGAAGCTTTCTGGTTATCAAAAGACTTTATCTGCTCTTCCAGCGAATTCAAACGAGACCTCAGCGAGGTTTCGATATCAGTTTTCTCGAAGCAGAGTCGATCCATGCGGTCCTGAATTTCCTGGAGAATAATTGCTCGTTTTGACCTAGGCAGTCGATCGACGCGGACGTTCGAGGAGCGCCGTCATCGGAGGGAAATCCTTCAGTGATGGTCGGGTTGATCTTACGCGATTTAGGCCGTCCGTGTCTCGCCGAACTTCCAGGTTGACCCGCGAGCGCAATTGATTCATGTCGTGCTCGAAATCGCTCTTCATCTTCTCTATCTGTAAGCGTTGACTCTCCATCTGACGCTCGTACTTGTTCTGTTGCTCGTGGAGTTTCGCTTCAGCCGCTCGGAGACATTCCTCCGCGCGGTCCTTGTCGAGCTGCAAGATATTCCTTTCGATTAGTATCACCGAACTTCTAATCTTAGACAGGTTCGCGGGTATTGAACTTCGGCTCGCTGTATCTGAAGCCTGGACGAGACCGGGAACGCTACCTTCAAACGCGTTAGTGTTGTGATCATGTTCTTGCGCACATTGCCTTCGTCTGCTTGGTTTAGCCGGATGCTGAGGTGAACCAACTTCTTGAATCCATTGACTTCTGTGATGTCCAACACGGCGCTGTTCGATATTCTCTCCGGACGCAGCTCACATTGGTAACTAGAATTACCGACGCTCCCTGTGAGAAACGACACGCGAGCGGAACCGCGTCTTCGCTAAAAATCCCATTCAGACTCACCGAGGCGATGCCAACGATTCTTCGCTCGAACACATACGGAGAAGTTCGACCAATGTTTGAGGAAACGCTGCGAACTCGATAATGAGATGCTGCTGGATCTTCAAGCTGTAACGGCAGCGAAGGCTAAGACTCTCAGCACAGACTGAGTGTGCGGGAGCTCCTTAGAGTGGGAGATCCCATCAGGAGAACATTGTGCTTGTGGGGAAATGCCGTCGTCCTCGTATGGGACTGATTCTCAGAGCTCATGGCAATGCATCTCCCTCTTGGGATTCCCTCTTGGAAAACAAATATGTCTCGTACCGCTGGAAGACTTCATCGTTGATTTGTGCTGAGTAACAAGCGTATGGATCGTTCTCGTCGAATAAATGGAGCTGTACGATTTCCGCCGAGAACGGGGAGACGTCCGTCGAAAGCTGTATCTGGAGTCGTAATCTGCTGCTCCTTGAAAGAGTAAGCATGAATGCTTTCGTTAACGAATGTGACCGCAGCGAGCCTCGTAGCGATGGATACTTAAGTGATCAGGAGTCTGTGAAGCAGCTGCTCCGGGGAGCTATACCGTCTCGGAGCCAGCTGACCCCGACCAATGAGAATCAGACCGACACCGCACCGGTCGTAGATGGGACGGAATCCGTCATACGAGAGAGGCCTCCCTCATTGATTCAAAAAGAGGATAACGGACGGCGTTTGAAGCCACTGATCAATGAGGCTCATCTGAGAGCAGGAAACCTCAATAACTCGCGTTGGGAAATTATCCCATTAGGTCGATAATCCCTGTTCCCGAATACGCTCAATATCGAGAAGTGTCATATATTACCGTTGCCGATAGCGCGTTCGAAATTCCGTTAGCTCAGAAACATCGATACGCAACGAACTCATTGGCCCTCGATCGGGTTCGCCACAGCGAAAAAAACTGAGAATCTTTCTCTCCGAACTCACCGATGGGTGTCATCCTGCACCCGGACCTGGAGACAGGCATCAAACAAGAACCTGTCGTCTTTGGGCGACAAAAAGTTGAACATCGTGCCTTCTCAGCACCGGCAAATAGGAGCCGTGACAAGCCACTGATCTCACTCACAAGGACGACTTCATCTCTCTCAGCAGACTGGAACAGATTCCCCGCGGCTAGACGTGTAGGAACGACGTCGATCCGAGCTAATCGAATCCGCGCCACCGATGCCCGTCGTGTGCGAGAGCATGAAACAACAACGGCGAAACGGCAAGGGAAACCGCGCTTCACGTCGAGAACCGTACAGTAAACCCCCTCTTCGATTATGCTGGTTCGCCCGTAGAACTACAACGGGGAGGAACCCAGGGACTCTGCACCGAAAGACCTGGAAGCGTCTCGTTTTCGTCAAATCCGTGAAGACGTGATTCGCTCACGTTTGGGGAGAACTTTCGAATAGGAGCGCGTCGCACTCTTTCCTACGAGCCGACGACACGGCTCTCTCTCCCTTCTCGTTCGCGGTAGTCCAATATCCTCATGGAATCCCCTGCAAACGAACATTTTCCAGACTGTCAGCGATCGCCGAGAGAGCCTACTATCAACTCTTGACGAAGAAAACCATCGTTCACACTTCGCTGCGCGTGACGTTGAAGAGTGAAAGCGCGGGCGTTGTCTCGAAGACCCAGATGATTCTTGGCCCATAACAAATATGGCGACACGCAGGTCTTCTTCTTGAATCGAGACGGCTCATTCTGTGCGACCGCCGTTCGTCGCCGTTCGCTATTTCTTGGATGCTGTGATCTCTCGGAGGTAAGTCAATCTTCCATGATCCGGTTCTATCCATCGGCCTCAAGAAATCGAGGCAGAGAACCTTTGGACTCAGGCAATCGAAGGGAATGATAGGAACGATGCCGACACTCCATAGGTCGCATGACAGCTTTCGGAACGTGCGCGAAACTTTCGAATCTGGCCCAGTGGCCTGAGATTTGAACGCCAAGTGCCCCGACTTCCTCTGCGCATATCCCTCAAGATTATTCGACTCCCGGTTATATTGCTGTTGTTCTGAGCGCGCCATTCCCATCCGGTGCAATCTGGAATCGGATTCGTCACATCCGATAAGAAGATGTTCTAAATATCAAGGGCGGTAGGCTACGGGGGAAACGTGAATTTTTCCTATTCTACTATTCCGCCGCTCTTCCAGATATGGGTTAGGCCCCCCATCGCTCAGCGGCAGAAATGGGCAGTAGCTGTTGCAAACCGTCGAAAGAAGAAAACGATGAGGTCTGTCACGGTCACTTCACCGGTAAGCCGTCGTCCGATTGATTTCGATAAATTTCAAATTTCCGATAAATAAATGATTGAGCGACTCGTGGAGTAGTGTCAAGTTTCGTTCTCGAGTGTCATACTTACATCGGCTCCGACTCCTCGCTCATTGAGCTGAGCTGAGTCACCGGTTGGAACCAAAAGAGAAGCCATTCTATCGCTCCCGCCCTATCGTTGAGATACCTCGTTCTGCTTGAATGTATCTGTACAAATGTTCTCAGAACCTCCATTTTCGAATGTGCCTTCGGCTTAGGAATATCCCTCCCCCTTGAGTCATTTCCACTATCACGAGCCCAAAAAGCCATCCTTTCATGGGGAATGTGCGCGGATTGCCCAGACCTAGATACACCATGGCCGGTTCCGGAGAGAACGATCTCCGGGACGATTCGGGGTGAGCATTTCAATTGCACGATATTGTAAGGGGGAAAACGGTTCCGACTTCAAGGGGCGGAATCTGCGGTGCAAATGGAGCGATTGGTTCGCGATGCTCTCGCGCTGCTCCGAACCTTCGAAAACCAGGATCAGGAGCCGCCAGCCTTCGTCACGCAGCTGATCCGCCTGGCGGACAAGAAGTGGGTGCTCGTCGTTGAGACCCTCTGCAGAATCGTTCCTCTGGATGATCCTCTGGGACCCGGTATGATATCGACGGTGCTCGACGATTGCCCTCTCCCGAGCAGAGAAGATCTGATGGGTAAGCTCTTCCCTATATATCGGCGGGATCTCAGTCTGAAGCAGATAGGAGGGAAATGAAATCCAGCAATTCGATGGAAATCGGGAATAGCTTTCTCAAGGGTACGCTTTTTTGAATTCAGACTTCGTCGATCTTCTCACGACATTACCAACCGGAGATTATGCGTACGAGAAAAATTTATGCGTCGTGCTTGCTCTGCTAGCGGACAAGCTGGCTGGTCCCTCCGCGGTCAGCCTTCTCAACACGACGACGTTGACATTCCTCACTGAAAGATTGGACTACCGCAGAAACCAGGATACTCAGGTAAGTTCTTCGTTGTTCGTGGTAGCTAAAACGGAGCTCCGTCCCTGGGCACGGGGAGCTCTCGTCGCGGATTTCATGTCTGACGAGCGAAATAGCGTTGAGCGGTATCCATCGAAGCCCAACAGTCCCCGAGGGCGTAGGCGAATCGCGCCGGCAGTCGTCGACCTTGGAAACGAACTCGTTCGAGGCGGAAGCGTGAGGGTGGAGTTCTATCTCGAAGTCACGTTAGCTCACTCCATCGTTTTCCCGACTTTTGCATGACATCAACAATAATTATTGATTATTGATGTGGAGGAAGCGCACAACTTGGCAGAGGGGGCGCGTGTCGGTGGAACTCCTACCGGCGACTTTCCTGACGCGAATTCGCTGATCCGTCGAGAACTCTGCGGTGTCTGCGTGAGGCTTCTCAATAGTATCGAGCGCTCACTCAGTCAGTCAGATACCCACCAGCCTGATCCTTCCAGGTGATTCTCTTCTCCCTTCTCGTGCTCGAGAAATTCGCGCAAACTCTAGAAAACAAAGTCATCATCGAGCGCTTCATCGCCGAGCAACCCGACATGGAAGTTCATCCGCTCAGAACTCTGGAAGAGTGGGTTGATGAATCAGATCTCGTCCGACGTCAAGTTGGCTTCTGCGCACAGTGGGCTCTCGACAACATCTTCATCCTTCCCGATAGAGAACTATCCTATCAGAAAGTAAGCTATCGAGGAGAATTGAATTTTTTCGCTGATCGTCATCGGCTGACCCTACCGAGGCTTTTAGCTGAGCGCTCACACGAAAGTTCCACTCCCCACAGGTCGATATGACTGGAATAAATGTCAGGCTCAATGACAATGACGCGTCAGAATACTTGAAAATATCACCCAATGGATTGGAAGCTCGCACAGATGCCAGTTCTTTCGAATTCGTTCGATCTACTTTTGAGGTGAAATTCCGCGACGGAAGGGGAGATCAAGAAACATTCTGACCGAATGTCACTCATTCCGAACAGGATTCTAGGACTAAGTAGATAATCCTTTCCGAGATTAACTTGTTCCCGATTACCGCTTCAGGTTTCCCGAGGCTGTTGGTATTACGAGGTTCATCTGGTGACAAGCGGTATCATGCAGATCGGTTGGGCCACCCGCGACTCGAGGTTCTCTAATCATGACGGCTGCGGTATTGGAGATGATCAGTATTCGATCGCATACGACGGATGTCGTCAAAGTATCTGGCATCGGGCGAGAAAGACGCCGATCGATCATAAAGAATGGCAGCCAGGCGATATTCTCGGTGAATAACTTAATTTTGGAAAGAGACTTCTTCTCCCTCCTAAATGTGTATTTCCGTTTTGACGTGGTTGCTTATACGCAATATTTCGCCCCCGGATCCTAATGCTTTTCTCTCGATGTCTCCAAGGCTGCCTGCTGGACATCGATCGACAGGATTGCATATTCTCGTTGAATGGCGTCGCCTTGCCGGCCGTGCTCTGTTCAGGAATCTTCGATTCCACGAAAGGCTCGGGATTTTTCGCGGCTGCGTCTTTCATGACCTACCAACAGTGCCGCTTCAATTTCGGCCTCCATGAGCTAGTCTATCCGCCGGTGGATCGAAAGTACCAGTGCTTCAACCAGTGCGCGGAGCTGAGCCCCGAAAATGCAAGAGTCATCCCGCGGCACGTCAAACTGCGGAGGAGCTCAATAGGTGTGTTTCCCGAGCTCGATACTTCTTGGACATCGACGTCGCCTCGCCAGGATGAGGGTGGATTGAGGTCTTGCTTATCTGCCTGAGGCACCAAGTGACGATTCACTGTGGTTTATGCGATTCGTTTGATCATTTCAGGTGTGGCGAATGCCTGTTCGATATGCGTAGACTTCGAAGCTACTATCCAGTTGAAACCGTGTGACCATTCGGGTTTCTGTGTGAAGTGCGCTAACCTCCTTGAAAGCTGTCCTCTCTGTAGAGCCGACATATTTGAGAGACGGAGCATTTCATAGTCATTCCGGGGTAGATCAAGTCCGAGGAGCGGGATACTTAACAAGCTGCCGTGATCGGGAACACATGTTGCCAACTGCACATTAGGAATGTGAGAGTCCTCGGCTTAACTTATGTAGCAATCACCCGGTAACGGAGAGCATATTGGACTTATGCAGTCTTCGGGTCCTGACCCCAAGTCCTACGATCCTCGTGGTCGGAACTCGCTCATGCCTTTGAATAATCCACTCAGTCAGCTCAAAGCGTGATCGGTTTCATCGGTCACGCCCCCTCTTCCGTGCACGAAGCGCGGTTGGCGACGACGGCATCAATATTTTCAGCGAGGGAAAATCATCGACTTCTCGTCCACGATTCAGGAGAGAGCCCCGGCAGCGGTTTCGTCGATAGATCCGCGACTCGATCCGGTTTACTTCATTCATGCATGCACTCGTTCCTAATCCGAAGTTGACGCGCATGTTGAGGACGTCCGTTGGAGATTGGCCAAACCATGGATATCAACTCGTCGCATCGAATTGCTCTGATATCGCCCTGGGTCTCCTTCTGATCTTCGAACAAGGGAAGTCACGATGATGCAAACTTCGGAACACTTTTTATCAAGATGGGAAAATACTTTTGTACCGATGAATGATCTGAGTGATGTAAAAACTTGTTCCGTATGAACTATTGTACATTATCTATTCTGAATGACGTCCACCCGATGGGAGTTTTAGTTTTTTAGCTAAGATGAAGTGAATAAATGGATCAATCAATCAATCGATGGATGACGCATACACGCTGAGCTTCTCTTTCTCTCTAAAGACCACGATGATCTCCGACTTGCTCATTAGTCTGCCCCTCCTGGCGAGACCAAAAGGCTCTCGAGATTCTCTATGAGTGAGTTCCATTGATTTAGCTTGATCTTGCATGAGGACGAATGATCCTTCATGTTTCAGTGGTCACACGTACCGCAGAAATCGTCGTGTCTACTGGTTCAGGGTCGGTTCCGTTCGTCGAAAAACTTTCCGAGCAATGTCTGCCATCCATCCCGTCAGCGCACCGTAACCCATGGCCTCTCTGATGCCTGCAGCGGATAAGCCGATTGCCGGAACCTCGGTTTTATCGATTCCTTTTGAATTTTTGCCGAATCCCGGACCAGAAACGTCCATCCGGCATACCGAGATATTCCGAGTGGTGTTTTGATACATCAGGAACGTTCCCTGAACACTCGGTAGCCCCGGCGCGTCCTTCGAGTAGTCTAGATTTTCGGATGCTTGCTGGTCGGGCCTGATTGGCTCTTGAGGCTTGAGGGAGAACTTCCTCACTTCGAGAACTGCCATCCATATGGAGATTAGAATTCTCCTCAGTTGCGAATCTTATCGCTCGGTTTAGAATCGAGATCAGTTCATCGGGATGTGTTCTCCCATACATGCAGATTCCGTTCCCATCCGACCGAGATGAGGTCGCTAAAGGAGTCTCTCAGCGGCGATCAGGTCGTCAGCGCTTTCTCTCGCCCCCCATGACTCTGGTCCATGCCTGCTCTCCCGGATCTTCATAATCCTTTCGCATTAGCCAGCATCGTCGACAGAATTGATCCCCAACTTATTGCCTCATTGTGATTCCGCCTTTGATCCCGTATACCACTCCGGATTGAGCTCAATTATAGAGACTTCCATCAAAGGAATGAACACTTGGAGCAGTAGAGTAGAGCATCTTTCGCATAGTTGCATTCCCCTGCACAATTGCATATTTTGCAGAGTCGCATATTCCAAGATACTGCATATTTCTGCTCACTGCATGATGTGGCATACTGGGTATATTTACGTATATTCGGAAGGCTCGCGTCGGTGATGCTCCGGCACACCCCATCCGGGATCCGACGACAGCTCCAATCGGAACAGGACTCCGCGTCGATATCAGAGCTATTCATCGTCGACATCCTTCGAGTTCCACCCTTTCACCTTCGGGATTTTGCCCGGTAGTATCAGACCTGCGGATTTCTGGGGAAGCCTTCCACGTGATTCGTTCTCTGGGCTGGAATCATTCTTCCGGGACTCCTCGAAGCACATTCGGCACTGTAATCAACGGAGAGCATGCTTCCCGTTTAATTTTTATCTCATTAAAAACACATTCGCGATCGGACAATGTTTAGCGGCAACATGTCCACCTTCAATTCCTCAACTCGGGATCCGGCACCAACAAGGAGGGCTTCGATGTCTGCCCGGAGACTCGATAGAGCAGACCTCGTCAAGGTCAGAGAAAAGCCACGAAAAACGGAATCTTCATTTTCGAAGGATCTCCTCTTCTGTTCGTTTCATCGGAAAGCTTCTCGAATCTGAGACCAATGCTTCCTCTCGGATTTCTGAAGTCCCCCTCGCATCGTTTTGATCTGGAGTGATCCGCGATTCGGAGTGAAGCTCAGTTGAGCTGGATTGCAAAAAAGGCATCTCAAGAATCCGGGATGATCTACGCGGGGGAGCGGGGGGTCCCCGTTCGGATACATCTCAAGGGTATGAATATAATTGAAACCGGATCGAGAGATTCTGATCAACAGCGCTCAATGCAGCTCTCCAGGGTCGTCAGAAATCGTCGTCCGAGATTGGCTGGGACCTGTACGACCTCGCTGATTCAAAGTTGCAGAATGGATGTCGCCTCAACCTCGCGAAGGAGAGCGGAAGAGCGCAGCCCACCTACAAGGGGGTTTAAAAGACGCGTTCCGAGCTCGAGAACTCATCGACTAAACACAGCCCCACAAGTCTCTTGACGTGAAGATCCAGCTTAGAGTGAAAATTCGCCTGATTCACCCTAGCCAGCCAAAATTAGTGATCCGACGCCCGGCGGAAAATGTTTTCGAAAGTCGCCGATTTCGCTAGGAGGCATCCCAAGAAGCTCATCTTCGGTGGTCTGGTTGCAGGTGGCATGTATGCTGCGCACCGATATCAGTCCAGTTTTGAGGAAAACCGGCAGCAGATCCGGAAGAAGATCGTGGACGAGATGAAACGAGCCGAGCATTTTGATGCCATATTGAAGACATCGGATCAGTCCGTCTTGAATCTGCTTGAGACCCTCCGCCGGAAACTCAATGCAGAGCTAGGTGTCGAGGAAATCTTGGAGGAAGTCCGAGCAAAACCTGAGAATCGAATCTTCCTGTGGGATGAAATAAAGATTCGAGTCCTGACCTACGGCGTCGCATCAGTCTACACCGAAAGCTTGCTCATCTGCGCGCTGAGGACGATGATGGGGATCATAGGCGGTTACATGCTCGCGAATTCAAGGCGGAAATCCAACCAGGCGAACGAAGTCCATAGCGCTTACTTGAACATGCTCCAGAACTTCCTCGACAAAGGAGTGCACGAGGTGATACGGGTCGTCAAGATCCATGTTTTGGCTGCATTCGGTCCCATCGAATTGAAGCAAGTTGTCACCGCGGACGACTTTCTTCTGGGATTCAATTTCGTGAGAACGAACGTGAAGATCATCGAAAACGCTCCGGCCTATCTGATGATGGACCATTGGACGCCGGCGTGCACGTCGCAGGAGAATCCGCTGTCAAACTCCGAAATCCTCAATCAACTAACCTCCGAAACGAGAGACATCTTGCAATGTCATGACTGCCAAGCCGTTCTTGAGCGTCTGATAGGCTCCGGTTTCCGAGGCCTGAACGCTATTGCGACGAAGGCTTTCGGCTATGTCGGAGACGGGAAGTGCCATCTCATTACTCTATTGCCATCCTTGAAAACAGAGATCTACAAACGGGACAACGGCTTCGTGAAGGAAAGTCTGAACAGCTCCTGCTCGAAGGATTTCTCGGCCAATGTATACGAGGCGTTCTGCAACAATCCGAGGGACTAATGCAGCTTACCCACGAATTCCTGAGGCTCGATTTTTGACCGGCTGAACACTTACAATCCCTCAAAGGACGCAGACGACTTGTGAACTCGACCTTCCCAGAGCAATGTACATATATATGCACACTATATAAAGACTTTATACCTTCTAACTGACACGATCAAGGGTCACAAGCAGTCCGTTTGTATAAATGCGGTGTGGAACTTTTTCGAAGAGACAAAGAGCTCATATCCTTGTACCTGAGGTGGCTGCGTTGGCTTGATATGGATGAGCCACGGCGAGGGGGAGCGCCCGGACCCGGCGAGCTTCCAGGCCGGGCCATCCGTCTACCAGGCGATTTCACCGAGAGCGCATCGAGCTCCGCGGCGACTCGTGAAGCGGCCTCATTGAGCTCGAGCGTGCAGCGTCTCTGGTTTGAGAGAAATGCCCATCGAAGAGAATCACCTCAAGCTGTAGAAGGGCCTGACCACGTAGCGGAGCATCAAAGGGCCCAGCGACGCTCACGCGTTCTACAACCTCCTGCTGAAGTTGTGTTCGAGCGCGGCTGCCTCCCCGGGATAACGGTCAACATCAAGGCTTATCTCGAACCGGCGTGCTGCTCATTTGCTTCTGTGCTCTGGACATCGAATTCGGGGCGGATATCCCACGACTCTCGATTTTTCGATTCCACAATGCTATGGTGAGCGCAATGTAACACTGGAGATTATCTCTGGATCTTCCTCCAATAAACATCGATCACAAACATCTTATGCTTGTTTGATGCAGCCGCCGTCGTTCTGGGATGCGAATCAAGTTCACTTGCAGTGCAATATGCGCATATTCCATGTTATTCGGACATGACTCGCCATTCCTCCAAGACCTTCACCTCTTTGAAAAAATGCCGTTTAAGAGTGCTCGTACTCGTTTCACACACACTATTCCGCGATGTACAGGACTGATCCCGTAAATAGATCTCCGGAGATATGACACCATTTTGGAAGGAGTCATCGAAAATGGATATTATTCGCATAAGGTTGGGATATGCTTCTCATTTCCTAGCCTGGATGCTCTCGATGCCGCTAAAATCACCATGAAATAGTGCGCTAGGGGCGACTTCGTGCAGCCTCGCAAGCAGTGAAGGCTGGAAGTTCATACCGGAATTATGTTTCATCTCGATCGACGGTCGCGAGCGCACCGAAATCCGGACGACGTCAGCGATAGAGCGGATGGGAGGGAAAGCGGCCTCGCGTAGAGTTCAATTTCCTCGAAAGTATACGCGCTGAGTTGGAGGACTTATGGGAAGTTCGTGCGAGCGCCATAAACGAATAATCGAGGCAGCGGCCAATTCCGGCCCGGGGTCTCGAACGGCGAGCGGATCTCCCGACCCCGTTGATCGACAGAGCGATTCGCGGGTCGATTCATTCACCGAGCAAAGTATCCCCCGATAGAAGTAGAGAGTCCGGCAGATTCAACCTTCCGGCAACACTCCGGCAGAAGTAGAGAGTTCGGCTCGGACTAATCCGTCGAGAGAATCTGCTCCGGAATGGCGATCGGCGACCACTGATCGAACGCATGATATGTGGGTCGATCCCTTCTCGAATCCACAGGAACCAGTCGAGATCATGCCTGCTCGAATCGCTGCGTCTTCCCGGAGGATCAACCCAGATCGAAGCGCCGCCTGAATGCACGGTGAAAATGAGACATTCGAATCTGAGGCTGACTTGGCTTCTCGATTAGGAGCGAAAGGCTCCCCGAATCGTCAGCCGGTATATTCAAGATGTATTCCCTGGGTTGCGCTCGAGGAGTCATCAACCACAGAATTCATCTTCCCCGTCTTGATTCTTCACAATGGCTCCGCCTGTGATCCCGTGGGTGTTTTTCAATTGAGCTCTATATCAGAGACGTTCATCTGGGGAATAAGCGAGACGGGAGGGCGTGATCGGTTCCTCAGACATAAGAAAGAGAGACCTCGTTCCGGTCGAGCTTTAGAGCTCCTTCTCCTTCCAAAGGTCATGTGAAGCAGGCGTCCTAATCGGCAGAACTCGAAGGGAGGGTCTGCTTAAGCACCAGAATACTTTCTCACCGTCTTAACCATCGATTAGAAGTTCAAGAATGAGACCGCCTTTCCGTCCCTGGGTGTGATTTCTAATTATTCGTTCGCGGATCATCTCTTCGTGGACGTCGGGCACCCTTGTAGCTCGCGAGGAGCCCGCTGAAGAACGTCGGGAGCTGTTACCGTCATTCGGACAGCTTCCATGAGCTTCATGCTCGCGTCAGCGTCATGTAGACCACGTACGGCACTTTCAAATATCACTTAAATATCCGGCTGCCGCTTCATTCCGGCGGGCTCAGTTCCATAGGGCAACCAGACATTACCCGGGGCTCGAATGAGGTGGAATTAATTTTTCCGTCAATCATGAGCAGGATCGCGACTAAACAGAGCTAGACAGGCTCGCCTTCAAGTGCAAACTGCCTTCACTGCATCGAATTCCCTCCAGATCACGATCGGAATGGCATGTCAGCAGGGGATTCGAATTCGACTGGAGGGGGTCTTGAGTTTTGCGTCGTCCGACATTGCCGGGAGATTCCCACGTGATTCGTTCCAGAGCCGAAATCATCGCTTTCCCTCGGCTGGGGGCAAAAACAGGTATCTCCGAGAAGGGCGCCCCCGGCTTGAAGTCCGTCATATGTGATCGCGCGCTTTCGAGGAATAAGACGTCGCCGTATAATTCCGCGCATGGTCGTGTAGTCCGTCTCTTCCCGGCAAATGTACATCTGGCCACTTTGTTTTGTACCAGAGTGCGTCCGCTTCGCATTATGCTCGGGGGGTATCCAATCCGGTCCGGCGCGACCCCGGTTGAAGTTGGCCCGAGAAACGGCTTCTGGGGATCCTCGAATGATCTTTGCGGAGCGTCCACCCAGCGGGGCGATTCGAGAAGTCGACCGACCGACTGCGGGAGCCGGATTCAGCCCCAGAAATCGAGGTTCCTACTCGAGTGTTAATCGATGTTCTCTGGAGCAGACCAGAAACACATAATTGAGAACAAAATCCCTTGACTTAGCGTAGCGACGGTTCCTAGCCGCTTTCTACGCAGAGCTCCCCCACATCCTCGGCCACGTCTACAGGCTGAGCTTCCGAAACATCTAAAGAGGGTGCGCTAATCGGAATCGAATTGGAGCACCCCCGCTGTATGCGAGAGATACTTGAATGCATGCCCATTCGTCGAACACGATCGAATCAGAAGAGGGGCGAGCTTCCCTCTCAGGTTTTGCCGTTGCCCCGACTCCACAGGAGAGAGTGAGATGGCGAAGCCGAACGAAAAGCGGATATATAAGGCTCGGAAATTCGTCGAGTTAATACACAGCCACACAACTCGCTTGGTTTGAGGGAATACAGCTCGACGCGAAGATTCGTGAGATTCACCTTACTTAGCGAATATGGCCGACAACAGGCAGGACAACAGGCGCAGGAGAGTCCGCCGCCGCCGACGACGTGATGAGTGCCTGCTGCCGTACATGATGGGCCACAGAGACGAAGAACTCATCGCCTTGTACTTGAGGTGGCTGCGTTGGCTCAACCTTGATGAGCCGCAAGAAGAGGGAGCGAATGGCGAGGCTCAAGGCCGGCATATCAGTCGTGCACTCGAGTCCACCAGAAACGAAACGAGCCCTGCGGGTACCCGTCCCGAGAGCTCATTGAGCTCACGCTTGCAGCAGCTCTCGTTGGAAGAAGACGCCGCTCGGGAAGGATCGCCCCGAGCTGAGGAAGGGCCTGATTACGAAGCGGAGCATCATTTCACTCAGGGACGCTCATTCGTTCCGCGAGCGCCTGTCGAGGTTGTGTTCGAGCCGGGCTGCACTCCCGTGATACCGGTCAACATCGAGGATTATGCCGAACTGGTGTGCTACTCATTTTCTCCTGAGCCCGTCCTTCCTCGAGCCACGAGAAGCCGACGTTGCAACCGGCTTTGAAAAAGTTGCATCAGTGATTCTATGCCCGGTAGTGAAATGAGATATCATATTCATAATCGATCGCTAATGCTCGATTTTGTAAAATTGTTGTGTGACAAGAGAAAATATCCCTAGGTCATTCTTCAATAAATATCGATGTCAAACATCGTATGCTTAATATTGATATGTCCCGAACTGTTATATATCATGTTTAGTGGATCACGTTCCATCACCCTCGAACATGACTCGCCTCAAAATCCTTGATCAGCGGCAGTCTGACCGCTATTTAATCTAGGAAACGCCGAAGCTTGACGAAGGTAGTCGCTCTCGATGCGAAGTTTAGCGAAGTTTATTTCGAATGACTATCCGAATGATTCCGAGCCACACTCGCGGTCATCGCGGTTGGAATGTGAACAGAATTCGAGCTCCGCCTATCTATCAATGAACCGCAACATGAACATCAGATGGGTTTTCGCGCGGTGACCCCGCGATGAGGATTCCTCAGCAGACTCAGCTATATTCTGTGTTGTCTGCATTAGCAGGGCACCTCTTGGATGGACTACACCCGGTCATAGAAGGGCACCCACCGGGTGATCGAAATATTCACCCAGACAGCCTACTAGACAGCCTACGTACGAAGGGCACTGCTTTGTGAACGGGCTGTTCCTCACGTACGGGCATGAAGTTCCAGGGGGTGTGATATGTGACTTGAGAAAGTCATTCGACGCGCATGGAACAGGTTTTACTTTCAAAGTTCAAATGGAGAAAATATTCGGGCACCCTCTATCAGGGGAACTCTGCGATAGACGATCACGTTCAAGGGGCTCGGAAAATGAGCGGGCATGCCCGGATGATATAAGAGGGACGGCATCTCAATCAAAGAATACTGTCGACCCGATATCGCTTGCCATGCCAGGAGGTCCAAGAGTGCTCGTCTGAGTACCAGAAGAATTTCGGAGGTCAGTCCTGAGAGTGCTCCTTTTGAGGAAATCGCAGGAGACCTGCTGCAGGGGAATAGAAACTGGTTTCCTCGCGCACGAGCCGACGCGAACGGAGAGGGATCATGCAAGTGATTGAGCAAAGATAGACCTGCTGTGAGGCTGGACTCCGGGTGCTATCTCCACGGAAGCAGTCGAACTAACTTGAAGGAGATATTCGAAACCTGCAACTAAACGAGCGGCCAGCCTACCTGCCATGTGAAGGGTCCGAGTCTTTATCCAACACGACTCGACGTCCTTGTGCACGGCACAGCGACATAACCCAATAGCAGTCGAGACGTCGGCGAATTCTAGCTTGCATTCTCTCATTCAAGAGAGCTCCGGAATCAGAGTGAATCGCTCTGGTCTATCCACAATAATTTATCGCGACCATTATCTCATTATACTTGTGTTCCTTATTATCGAAGGCGCGTTTTCCGAAACCTCAGGTCCAGGCAGAGCGTCGTCATCAGGCTTCCAGCTTCCGCTGCTTAAATCCTGCATAATGTTCATCACGGATCTGAACGCTAGGAAACACAAGATAAATGCCCCTAGAGAAACGGTGAAATTGATGCAGCTGACATTTCCCTCGGAGCTCAGAATCGCTGGAGAGCCTTCTTCCCGCCTCCCGCCGCTGTCAGACGTCTCGGTACTCCCCGTTCCAGGATTCGGCATCGAAACCGGAGATCAAACGCGAGTCTTGATGAAAATTGATTCGGTAGAGTCCAAGGAAAAAGAGAAGAGGTGATTGTTGCCGAATTCGATCCGCTTTCTCGAGAAGCTGTTGCTTCGTCGCCATCCAGATCGCACGAGACTTCGTACGCTCTCGCTCAAGTGCTGCAGATTTCCTTCGCTGTCTATCCCGAGAACGACATTCTATCAGAACTCGAAAATGCATCATGTACCCGAAGACGTGCCACCCTTCGTCGCACTGGTCCGTCATAAGCGACGAGGAACCTGACTGAGGTCTGGTTCCCTCGACGACTCCCTCTACACGGCGCTCATTCACAGGCTTTTGGACAGGGGAATCTCTCGCTCTTGCGGCTTCTCGATTCCCTCCCTGGCGATTCGAGGGTGTCGATCTTGTCACCCGCCTGTCCCTGATATATCCTGTTTAGGTTTGCTCCCGCCGTATCGGAAATGTAGCCATCTCCAAGTAAGGAGGGTCGACCTCCGATAGGCTTGAGGCTAAAAATATCATTCCCTGACTAAGCTGGTGGCTCGGCTCTTTTATTCTCTACGATTTGAACCCCACGGAAATCCTCATCTTGGAATCAAGTTGAATCGATCCATCACGTACGCAGTATGTCGCAGAGCGTGCGATTGTTGAACTTCATTGCGACGTCTCCGGCTGCGACGAGGGGGAAAATGTCAGAATCTGTGCTCTGTACGGACAATACTTTCCAAAGTAGTCGCAGGATCCTGAATTTGGTACCTGTCGCACCCGTGTCGTCTCTTAAGGCGGGATCAGCTCCTATCGACAAGAGGTGTTCCAAGCAGCCCACCTGATTTTCCTGGAAAGGATGTATGTAAATTAGCGGGTTGGAGTTCCACTGTAGACCTAGCGAGAAATCCGCTCACGTAAACTGACAACTTGGAAGCGCTCTTGTCTCACCCTCGCGGCAAGATGAAGCGCAGTCTGACCATTAGCGGTCCGACAGTTGACTTGCAAGCAATTCTTATCGAGCAGGAGATCTAGAATATCGCTCGATGACCCGCTCTGCGCTGCAATATGGAGCACGTTCCGTCCCATCTTGTCTCTTCTCTCGAGCGATGCCCCCGAGTTCAACAGGAGCGAGCTGCATTCTTTCGAACCGAATCTCACTGCGTCCATCAGCGGGGTAGTACCGCAAGAGTCTTCGGAGTCCACCAATGACGTACCGCCGGCAGTGAGGAGCCTGTTCAGAACATCGACGTGTCCGTGGATGGCTGAAACAACGAAAATTCTCCGTGAACTAAAGAAATCACTCCAGGAATCCGGCAATGGATTAGCGGCCCCGTCTTATAGCGCTCGAATCACCATCATGGGGATCCCCTATTAGAACGCAATGCGATTGCTTCCGAATCAGGAGAAGTTCGCTGACCTGCGGTATGTAGAGGTGTTCGACCATTCTTGCTGGAAGTTCTCCACAGGGTGGAATCCTCGTTGAGGAGGAGGTCGATACTTTCCAATGAACCGGTTCTGGAAAAAAGTTTGAGGTCGCGGAACACCATAAATCAGCAAATCCCTCAACTCGTGGAGGTCGGGAGTCGTAGTCGAGCGAACCTCGGACCCCCCGAGAGCTATTCGTCAGACGTAGACAGAGGTAGACGCGGCTTTGAGCTCGAGGTACTATGCTTCGAAGGAGGACCAAGTATGTCAAAGGTTCACAACGACGCAATAATGAGCGATCCGACAGAGCAGGAATTTGTTGGCGCCACGCGAGCTCTTGATCGCCTCAGCCGCATCGGTTGTGCACCATCAGCAAACACTCTTTCGCAGTGTGTGCGCGCTGTGTCTGTCAGCACACACACCGTCAACAGAACGTGGAAATCGTGTTCAGAACCGTGTTCGAATCCATCACTTTTCTCAATTGGAGCTCTCAGAGGAAACAGATATGGCAGATGATAGCCAAAGCACGCAGTTCCAAGTCCCCAAAGTGTCTCGCGAAGAAATTCTACAATGCAGCTTCCCCCGATGGTGAGAATTGCAGTTGAAGATTCATTTCATGGAAGATCACTAACTAAGGGTCTCGGCATTCGAACAGTCAGATCACATGCACGGTATCCCTCGCAAAACTTTAATTCACATGTTCTGATGAGTAGGTACGCCCAGTTCGAGAAAGTGACTCCTCTATCGTTCGTCGTCGAACTCCCAGAAGACTTTGTGAAATACCTCCTGTCTGACGACACGATACGTTTACCCGGTAAAATGTACGAATGGAGACGAGATCAGAACTCAGACGACGAAGATTCGGATCCCTGGTCAGATATCGAAGATGAAGACGATTTGAATGAGGGAGAGACCGCGGTAAGTCGAGGGTCATGTCGTGTAGCACCACAGAATAGAGCCGCGAATCATCGAGTAGCGCATCATCAGAATTTTTCTTCCATGCCAGAGCACGATAACAGAACATCCTATGGATCCACAGGTGCCAAAGTTCGAGGAGCTCTCACGCAAGGTCATGAAGAAGATCCGGAAATTGGGCGGGCGCTGTTTTCCCAAGCTAGATTGGAGTTCGCCCAAAGATGCGTCGTGGATCGCTCTCAATCGTACCTTGAGCTGTAGCACTTTCATCGATATCTGCCTCTTATTGAAAAGCTCAAGCATAACGACTCATGATCTCGTAGATCCATTCGAGTATGCTCATCCTGCGGACCCAGGTTTGTATTTCCTAGGCGAGATCTCGATCCAGAAGATCGTGAGGGAATCCCGCCGGTTCTGGACAGGAGCTTATACGTATTAATGTCGTTCTGAGCTCGGAAAATCACTCCCCTTTAGGCAAAGGAGACTCCGAGAATCAGTCATTGAAACATCATCTCATCTTGAGGAAATGGGTCGAGATCGAACCATCATTCGAGTTCCGATGTTTCGTCAACAACAGGAAACTGATCGGGATTTCTCAAAGGGAAACGAGCCAAGTCTACTCCCACATAGCCGAGCAGAAGGATCAAATCGTCACCGACATCGTGTCATTCTTCAGCGAATACATCGAAAACCGTTTTCCTTTGAGAAACTACGCTTTCGACGTTTTCCGAACGAAGAAGGACTACGTTCGTTTGCTCGATTTCAACCCGTTCTGCCAGCAGACCGATGCCCTGCTGTTCACTTGGCAAGAACTCCATGGAATGGGCGCGCAAGAAGCACCCGTCTTCCGATTCTCCGCTCACGGCGGGGGCATAAGAACTGGGAGCTATCAAAACTATGCACTGCCAATAGATGTGATTCGTTTTGCTCATTCGACCAATTCTGAGAAACTCATCGACATGTTGCATATTCAAGATATCCAAAGGGACCAGCAGGATTCGACGGATGACGATGAGAGCTCATGAAGACGCTCCCATTGCTCTCTGCGCTCTCGGAGTAAATATAAGCGTTACGACTGTGATCAATGAGGTTGAGAGGAATGAATATTGAATAAGAAGAGGAATGAGAGTAGAAGGAGACTTTTGATTCACCTCGCGGCAATGTGGAGCGCGGTCCAGCCGTCTTTGTTCCGCAGGCATGGCTGAGCTCCCTCACCCAGGAGAAGATTCAACATTTCTGTGTTGCGATCTCGGGTACAGGCGAGCATGAGGGGGGTCCTGAATTAGAGAATCATCTATCAATCTTCTGAATCAAATTGTCGCCTGAAAATCTCATGCCTTCATGGTAGAAGAGGAACAGCGCTTACCAATCAGCTCTTTTCAGAACGTCGACCGCTGTACCCTTCTGTATGAGATACCGAGCCACCGGAACGTGTTTGTTCTGTGCGGCTTCGTGGAGAGCACATTTTCCATCCTGATTGACGGCAGTCAGAAGATAATCCAAATTCAAATTTTCCAAAAGAGCTCTGAAATGTTTTCATCTTCGGAAATAAGCTCAGCACGGCGAGTCGCGATCTCTTGTATGGCTCCGCAGAGAGACTTCACAAAATATTTGGGTAGAAAAACCTTATGACGTCAAGGTGCCCGTAACGAGCGGCGACGTGCAGGACGGTGTCCGAGGACGCTGGATGAAGCAATGCGCTCCGATCCTGTCCCTTCGAGGTGATTATCACCGACGCGTCGCCCGATTTCGCTGCATTGAAGAGCTTCTTGCGCAGGCTTTCCAAAGACGGAGGCTCTTGAGGCATGATCGCATTTACACTTGGACAGAATTTGGGCCGATTACGTTCGGACATCGGAACGATCCCCAACGGATTCATTCGCTCTTCGTGAACTCTTCAGATGATGACCTTATCTGTCCCACATCATGCAGAGAAAGATGTAGTCTTTTTCGCATGTAGCCTTCCGGGAGACAGAGCTGCCGCTCTGATACTTGGGTCAGAGCTACTTCTGGAGGCGAGGATTCACCTGTAATGGACCGGCGCTCTCCTGATTGAGCACAGAGGCTCCGAGTCGCGATAATCAATCATGGTGTCGATCCACGCCAATCCGGTCTCAGCCCTTTGCCAAACATCATTTCTCTTCTCTCCGCGCAGGGGAGCGCGATATTTCGCGGTCTCCAGGACAGAGGCAGTCGGAAGGGGGCAGCCAGCTCCGCGAGCGTCAGGATGACGTAAGTAAGCTATACCTGGCCTAGGCGAGACCTCGATGCCTCCGTCGGACCCAGATTTGCTTTTTGGTAAGAAGACGACCGCAACTCATCCAGAAGAGCAGGGAGAACACATAGGAGGGACCACCGGGCCGCCCAATCCGTCAGCTGGCAAACATAGCAGACGAGTTCTGTCACGTCGGGGTGTAAACAAATAGTTTCGATATGAGAGAGGCTCACGCGCGGAAATCCCATCATTCCTCTGTGCCAGAGGAGTAGATCGTGCCCCTTGCGGCACAACTCACGTCCCGGCCATAATCTGATTTCAGTAGTCCTGGATTGAGCTTCCCTTTTTCCATCGATGTATCGGAGGGAAATAGAGGGGCTGTGTCGGTGGGGGCAGACATACTCCGACTGTGATGCAAATAAGTAGATGGATCAATCAATGCAGGAGTTACAGAGCTACACTCGAATGGCAATCCTTCCTACCAAAATTATTCCAAAAATACACTTCCTAAGGCACCTCTCTTCGCTTCGCCATCGCGATTCCCGCAGATTGCTACGGGTACGATTCGGAGGGAACTTATTGAACCCCCAGAACAGGCGATGAGAAGCGGGCAGGGTGATAATAATTCTTCGGATCTGGGAAGACGCTTCACGAGATCACACTAGACAGTTCGGATCTTCGAGAGACTCGTCATCATCTGAAGTCTTCACGAAGAACGAATGAATGCACTGTCGGGGATCGTTCGGAGGGATCCCGTGGAGAATCGGATCGGGATCCAGCAACCCGTCGTTCTCTCTCTTAACTGAGCTAATTCTCGAGTGTCGGACTAGAATCCGAATGGATGTGCCCGGGCTCCAGCGTTGAGCCGTGATTATTCGAAAAAGCGCGGTGCCTGCTCTCGGCGAGATGCTTGGTCGAGTGGCTGCGTTCCCTAAGACGCCGCTCGGCGTTGGCGAAGCGGATGAGTTGTCACAAAACATTCCGCGATAAGATCCTCGCATTCATTCGGCGTAGGCTATAATCCGCGCTGTGTAACGAGGGCGAGGTGCTGAATCGACGAGGTGCGGCCGTCGGCGGCTGACAGTGGAACCCAGATGATCTCTGGCCCATAACAAAAATGGCGGCCGTCAGGGTCTGTTCGTGATCATCTGACATCTGATACAGAGAGACAGAGGAGTATGACGATACCCGGGCGACCAGAAACTCTGCCAGACCGAACATAAATTCAAGGTAAAGTATTCCTTCATCCGTATTCGTTTCCCCGAATTACACCGAAGTCTACCTCCCGAACTCCCGAAGTCCGAAGGCATTCGAAAAAGAGTCTGACAGCGGAACGAGACCGCGCTCGATGGCACGGTCTGAGTTGGTCGAGAACATCTACGGAGCTCTGAATCCATTCCGGAAAGTGGCTGTGATGTCTAATCGGGGACAGTCCACCGAATCATAGATGGCAATTCGAGGCACACCCAGGCATATGAATATTCTGAATTTCGAATGAAGAGAGCTCGCATAGCACCTGGCTTTGCCTCCGACCGTCAGCGGACTACGTGTTGCGAGCAAGAACGTTCATTGTGCACCGAACAAGTGAAGTCGCTTCTCATTCTACTGATCTCTCACACAGAAATGACTCACGCCGATAACTCTTGTGGCCAGGATCGAACATGGGAACTAATTGTTGTAAAAGCTCAAAAGAAAACCCCGATGAGATATGTGAACCAGACAGCGCAAACCCCCAACATTCAGGTTAGTCGAGGAAGAGGGGTGGGGGGGGCATGAGGCCCGAGGAATCACTGCGGCTGACTACTGGAGCAGACGTCGTTCTTTTTCGCTTACACGGCCGAGCTCGTCGCTCGAACCATCGGTTTCCTCTAGGAATTGCTATGATCAAACGCGCTAGTTCCCTCCTACAAAGTGACTGCCCCCGCTTGATACTTTAGGCCTGGCTCGAACTCAGTCTTCGTGTCGCTCGGGAGAAGGCCTACGCTTGTACACGGAGGGCTAGAGTTTCGCTGAAGATAATCCGGGGCCCGGTACAAATCCAGACTAAATATTCCCGCATTATAAGATAAATGAGTCGGCGGTATCGAGTAACTCTCTGTTCTGATCCGTGCCGCGGTTATCGAATCCCAATCCATTGCCGTAATGCTCCCCCCACGGCGGCTCGTGGGTCTTAAATAATTATATCAGGGTCCAGGGAACGGGAGAAATTCGATTAACTCGAAAGTCTTTGCAGGCGAGTCGGCTGCTCTGGTGGAACGACTCGTTCGCGAATTTCTTTCGGTGATAAGAACTCTCGTCGACCATGATCCTCCGATTTTCTTCATGGAGCTGATACACATCGCGGATAAAAACTATGTCCTCGTAGTCCAATCCCTGTGTAGAGCGATTCCCCTGGAGGAGCTGGTTGGACCCCTCGTCATATCACAGATACTCTATGAGTGTCCCTCGCCGAGTAAAGAGGATCTCATCGGTGAGTTTCCAAGCGCCCGTGGGTTTCGTCTTTGAACGTGAGTCGATTTTCGATTCTAAGGTGCGATTCTTCAAAACATCAGGCTTCATCAACCTCCTGGAGACGCCGTCTTTCAAAGATGATGCCTACGAGCGGAATCTCTGTGTTGCCTTAGCTTGCGTAGCGGATCGAATGGCTGGGCCATACGCCGTCAGTTTGCTGACCGAAACGACTTTAAACTTCCTCGTAGAGAGGCTGGATCATCGGAAAAAACATGATACTCAGGTCAGTGGCCGACGCATCCGAATCCATGCGGAATCGGTGAGTGAACGTCCCGAAGAAAATCACACTCGAGATTTTGAGAGTGGATTCCCCTCGCACGAGCTGAATCGGAGTCCGGATCGTTGGCCTCCACTATCATTGCTGGTCGTGGGAACCTTGGGTGGAGCCCAAGGACAGGGCCGCATTAGCCTCGCCCGTGTTTGGGTCACTCTAATTGGGGCCTACGTGTCGGTGCTCGGGATGGAATCACGATTATTTTTGCACATCAGGCTTGATGATGCCGACCGAAGAACTCGCGTCGGCATTGGCCGAACTCGCCTGGCTCGAAAAAAAACAAATAAGGGAAAATGTTTAGGCCGTAGATTGTCCAATCGTTTTAATGTCTAAGAATGAACACCGTAGATCAGCGAAACGTAATGAATCTGAATTCTCTCAACCCAGGTGGTCTTGTTCGCCTTAATTGCTTTGGAAAAGTTCGCGCAAACGTCGGAGAATAGGGTCACCATCGAAAAATTCCTCAACGCCGAATATGATTCAAACAATCATCCCCTGAGAGCGTTGGAGACTTGGGCCGATGAGGAAGACCCCATCCGACGACAAGTCGGGTTCTGCGCACAATGGGTCTTGGACAACATCTTCCTACTGCCCGATCGGGATTACTCGTATACACGAGTGAGTATGGAGCTCCTTCCCCGCCTGGGAGAGTCGAGGGAAATCTCTAACTATCATTCACCTTGATTCTAGTCTCAACACTCATGGCTCAGACCGAGCCCGGGCCTCGATTAGGTTATTCTAATCAAAGATCTCCATCGAATGTAGGTGACCCTGAAGGGAATCAACGCAATCCTGAACGGCCAGGACATGACCGAATGTATGAAAGTTTCCCCGAATGGCTTGGAGGCTCGCGCGGATGCCTGCTCTTTCGAATCCGTCCGTTCCACGTTCGAGGTGGGTGTACCGCGCTCCGCCATGGACATTTTTACGAGGGGAAATGATGCTTCCCAATCTCGTCTACGTGTCGAATATTCGCTAAATCGTATCGTGGCCCGTCAGGTCTCGGAAGGATGTTGGTATTATGAAGTGGAGCTCGTTACGGATGGCATCATGCAGATCGGTTGGGCGACACGGAACTCAAAATATTCCAACCACGACGGTTACGGTATCGGCGACGATCAGTATTCAATAGCCTATGACGGTTGTCGACAACTCATCTGGTATTGTGGTCACAGCATCCCAATCAATCACAAGCCATGGAAACCCAACGATATTCTGGGTAACATCATATTTGAAATCCGAGCGCGTATCGATACTCGTCACACTCCGGACAATGAGAGAGACCCGGCTCTAACCCGACCAAACCCTTTTTGCAGGATGTCTTCTAGATATCGACAACAAGGAATGTCTATTCTCGTTAAATGGCGTTCCCCAGCCTTCACTTGTTGGATCTGTGTTCTTTGATTCTACGAAGAATGCGGGATTTTTCGCTGCAGCTTCATTCATGACCTATCAGCAATGCCGATTCAATTTCGGCTCGCGAGAATTCGTGTACCGGCCAACGGACCGTAAATTCAAATGCTTCAACGAATGCGGCTCGCTGAACGAGGAGAGCGCGAGAATTATTCCAAACCATATGAAACTCAGAAGAGGCTCCCTCGGTGAGTGAGAGATGGAGAGAGGTACCGCTGACCCAAACTAGATCGACCGAGCCCCGCCAGGGCAGACAAGCTCTCGCTTATTGAGCTCTCCTTCCCACAGGTGTTACGAACGCTTGCTCGATATGCGTGGACTCCGAAGCTTCGACGCGATTGGAACCATGCGGTCATTCGGGGTTTTGTGATAAATGCGCTAACGTTCTAGAAAACTGTCCGTTGTGCCGTGCGGAAATTTCGCAGAGGAAAACCACCAAAGAGGTCCAGACTCGGGAAGCCGAAACGAGCGATGAGACCGCATAATATGAGCTTGGAACACGCGAAGGAAAGGCCCGCTTCCTGCCAAATCTACTGACCCGATTGTGATCGAAACCCCGCCCTCATGCGATGAAGAATATGATCAAGATTTCCATCAAGCATGCACAGCCGGCGCCCCCTCACGATTCCATGAGAAGCTTGGATCAATTTGGTCACCTTTCCCGATTCGTATCATTCCGAAGTCTTGCCCACAAGGATGTCCTCAAGGTCAGGGTGCTCTCCATTCCTGCACCCGTGCACTTGCAAAGCTCTTCCATTGGATGTCAGGATAGCCCGTGTACACCTATCGAGCTTGCTGTAAATAATATCAGCCGCATGCCAGCATTCTTCCCAAAAGAATATTATTCATGTACGGTTTTCCTCCGAATGTTGGGATGCGATCTTACGCGACTTTTCGATCTCTGACAGAATATTATAGATTGACCCTCCGATCACAGACCGCCAGATCGAAGATTACGACTTATCCATGTTTTGTCTGTGGGAGTTGAGCAGTCTCCGGACTCACCCATTGTATCTAATCATCAGACTTTGAAGACGCAGAGAATATGTCTCCGCCGGAAGGATTGTTCACTATTCACTATCATTGGCTGATGTCTCGTAAAATAAGTGGAAAATAAAGGACATCACCCACCGGGTCAAGAGGAATCTGAGTTAGAGCCCGAACTCTTATTCAATAGGATCACTTCCACCAAAGCTCTCCACGAGTGCCGCTTCCTCCTTCTCCGGGGAGTCCCGAAAGCAGTCGAGCCATGGAATCCCTCCCTCTCGCTGCGATCGGGAATCTCTGCTGGAATAGGGATAAATCGCGTTGCTTTCTTCAATATCCTCATCCTCTACATGATTCCCATGACTCTTAATCATCCACCGATTTCGCTCACAATATTCCCCGCTCTCGTAATCAATGCGAGACAACGTCTAGCACAAGTTGATCAAGCACGTTGTCTTCACAAGTGATCCGTGTTCGCGGATTGAGTCCGTCGCAAGGGAGCACTCATGCGATCGAGATGAGTCGTCTAATCGTATGGGAAGCTGACATGGACGGCAATCATCAGCGCTGTTGGCTCGAGTTCGAGCTCCTCTGTCATGAGACAATTCTGTTAACTGATGGCGATTTCCCGACCGCGTTCCGTGAGGTACCAGAGTCCGATGTTATGCTGCTAATAGCAACGTCCCTTTTCCGGATATAGAAAATGTTGTCGTGCTTCCCTCCAGACTGTGTGCGAATCTGGAGCCGAGAGACATTCAAAGTCAACCTCGGCAACGGCGCAGTAGCCGGCTCCGCTGACTACAATGAATGACTCATCCTAACAGGATCGGAAAGGTGCGAAGACTTCGATCCGGATGCCGCGCCGGCGACCCTGAGTCCGAAGGCGAGGGACTCAAAGCTTCTGATTGTGGTCTCCAGAAATAACTTGATGATGATTAAAACCTTCATTCCGCTAGATCAGGGTGCACAGCTACACAAGCTCGGCGGGCAAGTTTGGGGGACTCGTGACCCCTAGCGGGCCGCACGAATCACTGGTGAGCCCCCGCCCCGCTCATGAAGGGGGTCGAGCACTGAGTACTTTCTAGAGGATACTTTTTATGAGAACGAGTAATTGATTGAGGGTGTCCTATTCCCCGAAAGTGTGTCGCGCCGATGTCGAAATAGAAAACCCTTAGGATTCACAAAGAAAGGAAGCCTGGAAGTATGGCGGCGGGCCGCTCGAAAATATCCTGGGGGCCGCATTGCGGCGAGTTGTGCACCCCTGCGCTAGATCTTCCGTGGCTCAAAGGATGTGCCATGACCCGCGGCCTGATTCCCGTAGGTAATTGAAATGTATGGTTGAACCTCGACACGCCTGGCACTACGAATTCGCTTCGCCTTCGCAGTTTATCGTTCCAAAATCGAGCAGTCGGGGCAATCGGAGATGAGTCTAGCCGGCGCTGCTAACATATCCCCCCTGCCTGCAGCCCGGGTAACCCTAAGGAAGCAGGTTATGGTGTTCACCTTCTCATTTATTACTTTACAATGCACACAGTGTTTTTGCGAGAACTCAGCCCCGAAAAGAGTCTATTTGGTCCAAGATACTTTTGGAATATCGTAATGTTCGCTGAGATTATCAAGTTTAGCGTTGAACTCCTCAACACGCTGCCTGTGACTTTTCGAAGCCTTTTCCATGATCTGCAACATAAGAAGCGATGAGAGTCCTGCAGGCCGAAATTTCTGAATCACAGAAGTCACTCCCGTGGGATCCCGACTATTTCAGTCACCACTTGCTTGACCCGAGTTGAGTTCCAAGCCGAAATCCAGGACGTGTCCCAGCCCTGGAGACCTGCATTTCCTGTCGCATAGAGAGTGTCATCCGAGGTTGTATCTCACCTTCTCTAGTCGCTTCTTCTCCTGCATTTTCTTGAAGGCTTTCTCAGCTTTCGTCATCTCAACTTTCACTAAGCGGTGTTCTTGCCCGCGCTCGTCGTCAGAGCCATCGTCTGCAGCTCGCGAAGTGTGCGCCTCTGATTTGTGTTTCTTGTCTTTCTTATCCTTCTTCTTCTTCCTGCAATGAGGATATCTGTCAAGACACGCTCTCGCAGGAAGGATCGCTGATTCCCCCAAAGTCACCGAAACTCCGGACACGTATGCTCTATATACACTGGACCTACTTTTTGTGGGAATCCCCCTTCAACTTGAGGGAACCTTCGGCGACAAAATACTCGTCGGACATTTCCCGCCGGAAAGACTTTCACAATGACAACCGGAGACACCGCAGGATTGGAGAAGTGTGGTCTGCAGCTACACAATCATCGGAGGAAGGTCCCCGTCACGGATCTGACGCACTATCTTGATCTCCGGTCAGATCTGACTGATTGAGAGGCTGAAATCTGGATTCTAGCTTGCTCCTGGTCGGAACCGATTTCGTTGGACGCGATGGCTCCCTCCTTCGCTTCACATGACGATCTCGTAGCCTTGACGGAGAATTCGTACGCTTATCTGTACCTTGGTCTATCCTTCTTCGTTAATAAGTGTACAGATGATGCACGCATCATGCTCACCACCACACTGCTCTCTCTCGTCGTTTGCTCTTTGCATTCGTAAACTTAGCAGACGATGGGCCGGAACAAAGAAAAACAACAAATACAGAAGCAGCGCGGGACCTCCCTTTACGTGGTTCGCACAACGATATAATTTCTGTAGTACGCTACTAGCTTTGTATGAGAAACAGGAAACACCTAAAAGTGATATGATATATATATAAAAAGTTAAATAATTAAATGTAAGAGGATTTATTATTGTTATTATTATTTATTATTATTTATTATTATTTATTATTATTTATTATTATTTATTATTATTTATTATTATTTATTATTATTTATTATTATTTATTATTGTTATTATTATTTATTATTATTTATTATTATCTTCACCAATTATCTCTATTATTATCCTCTTAAATCTTCTTCACGCTATGACTGACTTGACGAAGTGTCGCATTTATTGGCTTATATTCCCCTATAGCCTACAGCGCCACCACTCTAAATATAAACTCGTGATTTCGTTATCTCTTCGTGATTTTATTTAGTTTCCGTGATTCTATTTCACGATATTCTTCATTAGCAATGAGCAATGAAGAAGAGTCATTACTCATTTTCTTATTGCCCACCATCATTTGTAATCCCTAACAAACTAATTTCCATGCAATTCCGTTTTTTTTCGCAACTTCATATGGTCCACATATCTGCATACGTCGGCCTTTCCTGGATATGTTTGCACATTCCGCATTTTTCCCGCATACCGCATATTGAATAATGGAAGTTTGGGATTGTAGGACTTGAGGAGTTTCGATTTTTCCGAAATTTCCGGCCACTCCCCAGAGAGTTTCAATGGAGGCCGCGAATTTCCGCGAATTTGGCGGAAATCCGCGAAAAAAGCAAGAAGCTAGGTTATGTCAATGACATTACCGTAGATTCACGTGAAAACATTTAATTACGATTTTTCCGGCAAGCGGTCGGCTTGCCGAGGAGTCAAATCATGGCAAATAGACCTATCCCTCTATCGGCCCTCTGTAGGATGGAATTGGGTGAGTTTTCATGAAAGCTCGGTAAGAGCCCACTGATTGCCCGACGGGGCTGCGATATTCAATCATTCTACGAGAGATGGTTTCCGTGGTTCGAAGGCATCGATATCTCTTCTAAATCCCGTCGGCATAATCATCGAAAACTGCGCTAGCTATCGAGTTTCGGAAGTTTTTCCGCTTCACGAATCTAGAATCGAAAGCCACACCTATCCACCCTCGAAGTCCTTTGGCTGCCGAAGTAGGAAGTTTTTTCGGACCCTCACTGCGGCTTACTCGACGAATCCGCTAAGATACGACGATTGGTGAATTTTGTTGGTCTTCAGTTCGACATATAGCGCGTGGTCGTCATCATCCAGGGAACGCGGTTAAGTTCGAGCCTTACTTTTGACGTGAAGGGGACGTCGATGTGATAAGTAATCATAACTTATGATAAGTTTGAGCTGAGTTCAGCTTCTTGAAATTACATTTGTGTCTCCATCCGGGGAAGATCAGCCGAGTGTTGTGCAATGGAGGCCTTGACAATCTTCGAATGTCGTGGAAAGCGGAGCCTCTCATCCATGTTACAAGCATGGCGGTACACGTTTTGGAGGAAGACACGCCGGAATTGCTGAGTTTCGCGTTCCCATGCAGCAGTGTAGTAAGAAGATCGCATGATTTCGTCATCATGATGGAATTCAGATCTCACTGTATCGGACTCGATCGCGACCGCGGCTTTTCTGACCACGGCGACCTTCGGAGCCGGAGCCGAAGTCGACTCTTGATGAGTCGCCCCTTGGAGAGATCCTCCCGATGACAGCCTAAATCTGTTGACACGCGCACTCGCTGAGCTTGAAGGTAACTTCGTCGTGCCGCTTCTGTCGCCAGGAGCTCCCTTCAGAGGGTCTCATCTATTCCCCTATCCCCCTATGCCCCTATATAATAAAAGCGCTGTGTCTGCCT